AAAATCTTTTTATCATATGATTTTTATATTTATATTTAATTATTATTATTATTATTATTATTTACTCTAAGCAGCCATCTAAAGCACTAAGAGGGGGGGGGGGGAGGTGTGAATTAGTGTAGCGGAAAAAAATTTTCGATTAAAACGACATTCGTACGATGAAAACCGATTCCGACATAAAAGTCGTTTCGTAAATAACTTTAACTTAAGATCAAAACAGAAGTATAGTTGATATAAAGAAATGGAGGCAGTTTGCAAATAAGATAAAGAGCATAATGTAAAGGCAAACTGAGATTTAGAGTGGTTCGGTCAATCTTGACCTACATCCACTTTTGGCTTTCTCCTCCGATAAGGTCATTGATGTCCACTAAAGGTCTTCCTTCAATAGGCGAAGACCAACTCCTTCTTACACCCATCTTCTCCTTTTTACGGGATTAGGAGACAACCCTTACAAGCACTCACTTACTCATCTCTAAACAAAATTCTAAGTTTAATGCTAGAGGAGGGATCTCTCAAGTGATTTCTACGGTGTTTTTTTGCTTTTAGACTCTTTGTGCTTGTGTATTTTAACAAGGGATGGGAGGGGTATTTATAGGCTTCAAGTTGATTCAAACTTGGAGCCTAAAACTTTCCCATCCCGGATTCCTCGGGCACGGGCGGTACCACCGCCCAGTGTCAGTTTGATTGATACTGTCCTAGGCGGTACTACCTCCTAGCACCCTGCTAGGGACGGTACAAGCGCCCAGACTGGCGGTACCACCACCTGACATAAGTAGGTCAAAACATGATGGAAACAAATTGAAATTTTCATGAAACCTTTGAATTGCTTTTAGATGGACAAAAATATAACAACTATTTTTATTTTAAGAAATTCATTTGATATTTTTCTAATATTTGTAGATTGTGAATACTCTGACTTTTTTTAATTTATTTAATTTTTGATAAAATTTGATAAAACTTAAAAAAGTGCTCAGGATACGGAAGAAATGCGAACTCAATTGCAAATATTATTGGATGAAAGAGCTTCTCGAATAAATAATATAGGATAAATTAAAAAAAAATACTTTTTGTCATATGATTTTTATATTATATATATATATATTATTCACTCTAAGCAGCCATCTTATTTTGAGAGAAGCACTAGGAATGATATCTTTGGTAACTTTTTTGATGTTATGCTATCGAAAACTTTCAGTGTATCTATATATGACATTGGATGTACTGTACCGGAGATTGATACTATAATTTTTATATCAATTAATATGATATATATATATATATATATATATATATATATATATATAATGAATTGGGAGCTATCATTGTGGTTAGTATATCATAGTAATGATCTTTCATTAGATAAAAGTACTTATTTATATAAAAGAATAATAGTATAAATATATAAATTATTACTGTGATTGTCTTTTAAATATCTATCACTGTAATTGAATAATAAAATCTATTACTGTAATTAGATAATTACAGTAATAACTAAGCTATTACAGTGGTTTTTCTTTACAGGATAAATGTGTGTAGTTGAATAATCACCATAATAACTAAACTATACGGTGATTTTTATTCGTAAGATAAAAGCATCTATTACTCGAGTTATGGAAATTTAGTGATATATGAACTATTGATGTGGTCTTCATTTGAAGGGAAAAAAAATCTAACTTGTAGACCTTTACCTGGAGTTGCAAAACCCATAGTTATATCTTTTCGTGGTTTTTAATT